GGAAACGTCAGAACCGCCACAAACAATTATTAACTAAGAATTTATCGACAGTTTATGAATAGTTCTTGTCTTATGAAAGATATGTTTAATAGATAGTGGGTAGGATGAAGGCGGGCGAAAGCCGCTTTACACTATTTTACTGTCAATTTAAAATACTAATGGAGGACGAGAAAGTAACGATAAGAATTTTCTATCGCTAGATATTGTGGATGTGACATGTGTTTACGCAAACAGAAATATTTTTTAACAAAATAAACATATTTCTATACAAATGTCATGTATTTCTCCAATGGGCATTTCGAAACAAAAAAATAGCAGTAGAAAGAAATACTGAAACTTGTATATCATATAAACGTTTATTTTTGGTATACAAAATTTTATCCAAAGACCAAAACCTGACCAATGAAATAAATTCTATAGAAATAAGGTATCACTTACAAAAAATTAAAGACGTATTTTTTGATTCATTTTGTTGTTGCGAAAAGATGACAAGTACTATTTTAGAAGCAAAACACATGATAGTTTTATGCTATTTTTTATCAGACATTTTTATGTTGAAAAATTAAATAGGGATTTTAATTTAACTGGTTTTAAATATACCGCGTGATGACAAAATTTGGAACAAAATTCATAACTTTTATACTGGGTGATTTTTTAAAAAACGCCGAGACAGGTCGATTTTGTTCTCGGGAGGGTTTTTTTTTAAGACGATTCAGTTGAATGCAAGGTGACCCAGAAAAACTGGACGAGCAATAAATTTGTTTTTAATTACGGTACACCCTGTATATTTTTCCATATTCGGATAAAGCTTTCTCTTACGAATACAATGATGTAAGGTTTGATGATCTATCTCAAATAACAAGCGAGGTATTGCAAGAAAATGACATTCATTTCAAAAAATTACTTCATGTCATTTTTCATGAAATAAATTGTACTTGGAAACAAAACCGACCTGTCCCGGCGTTTTTTAAAAAATCACTCAGTATAAAAGTTATGAATTTTGTTCCAAACTTTATCATCACGCTGTATATTTCTAAAAGATAATGCGAATAAATAATAATGTTGAATACACAATTGAGAAACAAACAAATATTATTAGAATTGATAATACTATTATTAAATATTATTCATTGCACAAGAAGACTGATAAAACCATCCTAATAAAATGTGGAAATAAACAATCCTTCTGAAGTAGCTGTTTTACGTGTTGCGTAGTCTTTGTCAAAGTTACAGCAACAAAATTAGGTACAAGATATTTCTCTGAATTATTATAACAATTTCAATATATCAGGTATGTGTTTTTGTATCAATCATATTTCGACATATTATTTTAGACAACTGAAATAACGTCGACAAGCTGAATTCATGCATCAATTATCATTCATCATTTAAAATTTTACAACCGAATGTTAATGTTGCTATAACACGTCTATTATGCAACGTATTCATTCCAGATTCCAAGCATAGATCTCTACTGGAAACATAATGGTTATCCAGCTGTCTATTATAATTTTCTGCATTTTCTCTGCATTATTGATAGCTGGCAGTGAACCATACACAATTAGTGCAATTTTTACATCATTTATTCTTTAAACAATCCACATATTAAAAGAAGCAGAAGATTCCAGTAACGATTTTCTATCAATAAATGACGCTCCTGTAAATTGACCACCACGTTCTCCCGACTTAAATGCATTGGATTATTTTTTATGGGATCATCTTAAGTCCGTGGTTTCCATAACATCGGTGGAAAAGGGAGAGCAGCTATGGCACTGTCTTCAAGATGCAACAAATACTCTTAGAGGCGACGAAGAAATTATGCAAAGAATCCATTTCAATTTTCTTCGTCGTGTAAATCTTTCTATGCGTGTAAATAGCCACTTTAAATAGCTACTGTGACATCTTTATTTATTTGCATTCATATTTTCCTAATTTAATTTTTGTGTCAAAATTGCTGCCAATGATTAAAATTACAAATTTCGAATAAAGTGAGAGTAATCGAGTCTTATCAAGAGTACCTTTTTTGTAGTAAATAATTTACTTAATCTAAGTATTATACTTAAAATTCAAAGTTCTACGCCAATGTATTGATATTACTCATAATATTGATATGGGGTTTTTGTCCTATAGAGCGGTGTCAACTTACCAAATTTTAGCAAAATGGCATGAGGCGTTTTAAATTTATAAAAAAAAACGATTTCAAAATTGCAACTTAAGGCCCGTAACTGCCCAAATGGAACAACTTTGAACTAAGGTAAGTTTAGCCAAATCGACTTATTTTGAGCAGCACTCTATCTGGTGGGGTGTTGAAAAGGCTTTTCTGGTACACCCTGACTTTTAATAATCTGCTGGTTCCTCACAGGAGGGTGTCAATTGACAGTGAGGTTTACGTCACCAATTTTCAAAACAATCTGTTTCTGGAAACATTAAGAAAGTACTGGTCTCTTGTGTTCACCCTGTATTTTGGAGCAAAGATTTATTTGACCAAAAATTTTTCTTTTTNGTAAAGGAACCGGCGTGTCATAACGAGATTGAACGCGGCGCAGACACGCAGACAGTGCCACACATCTGCATCTATCCGATCCAGTTTACTGTATCATGACACAATTGTGCTGACACGTTGTGTTGATACAGCAAGCCGTGTCGGTATTGTTGTGTCAATACACGAAAATTTACAGTGTTACCCATGCCTAATGGCAATGTCTTCAAGATGCAACAAATACTCTTAGGGGCGACGAAGAAATTATGCAAAGAATATATTTCAATTTTCTTCGTTGTGTAAATCTTTCTATGCGTGTAAATAGCCACTTTCAATAGCTACTGTGACAACTTTATTTATTTGCATTCATATTTTCCTAATTTAATTTTTGTATCAAAATTGCTGCCAATGATTAAAATTACAAATTTCGAATAAAGTGAGAGTAATCGAGTCTTATCAAGAGTACCTTTTTTGCAGTAAATAATTTACTTAATCTAAGTTTTATACTTAAAATTATTTTCTTCCAGTGGCGTAGAATTATGGAAGGTGCAATTACTAAAAAACCAAAGTTCTACGCCAATGTATTGATATTACTCATAATTTTGATATGGGGTTTATTGTTCTATAGAGCGGTACCAAATTTTAGCAAAATCGTATAAGGTGTTTTAAATTTATATATAAAAGAAAACGATTTCAAAATTGCAACTTTAGGGCCGTAACTGCCCAAACGGAACAACTTTGAACTAAGGTAAGTTTAGCTAAATTGACTTATTTTGAGCAGCACTGTATCTGGTGGGGTGTTGTAAAGGCTTTTCTGGGACACCCTGACTTTTAATAATCTGCTGGTTCCTCGCAGGAGGGTGTCAATTGACAGTGAGGTTTACGTCACCAATTTTCAAAACAATCTGTTTCTGGAAACATTAAGAAAGTACTGGTCTCTTGTGTTCACCCTGTATTTTGGAGCAAAGATTTATTTGACCAAAAATTTTTCTTTTTCTTTTTGGTGAGAACTTGAATTTTATACATCTAATTGCATTTATTACAAGTTAATTTTCGGTACTTTCTCAAAGTCCAAAAAGTTCCTATTCGAGACATAAGAGATTTGAAAAAAAAAATGTTTTTTTGGTTTTTATTTATTTTTTTCTATGAAAGCCATTTGTTTTATATTTAGTATGAAGTGTACGAATGAAACGCTCTATCGATTTTACGAATTATTGTGAAAATGAATCAATCATAGGCGTCCGTAAGGGGCTCGGATTGCCCGTATTTTTAATATAATTTCTACGTCTGGAAATTTTTCAAAATAAATATATTTTTTTACATTGCGGTTTATTCTAGAGCAAAAAGGTATCTTCCTATTTTTAAATGAAATTGTTAGTTTTTGAGAAACATTTCTTCTTATGGATTCATTATATATGTTAAATGGTTTAGTTTTTCAAACAAAGTAATACAGAATAAAATATTTAATTTTGAGAAACAAACAGAAATAACAAATTAATAATGCAACGTAAACTCAATGACTGAGGAAATATGTCAAAATACGTATAAACAATTGTTATTCTAAAAATCACCTTCAAGGAGCATGAGATTTTTTTTTTCAAAAAATCTGTGCCACCTACAACAGTTTCTGTAAGTAATAAATTAAAAAAGATAGTTTTAGATGTCACTTTAAAATATTATTAACATGTAACTGATATATTCTGGACTCCCTTCTTAATCATAAATTTAAATAGTGTCGTACATATGTAAGTACTTCAATCATTACCCTGTTTACCTAATTGTAATGAATTCATAAGAAGCCATTTTTCTCAAAAACCAAGCATTTCATTTAAATATAGTAAGTAGTATCTGTAAAAAATATATTCATTTTGAAAAATTTCCAGTAGCTTAGAAATTGTTAAAATTAGGAAGTATCAGAACCCCTTAAGGACGCCTATGATTGATCTATTTTCACAATAATCTAAACATTTATATAACTTCTCATTCGTACACTTCATACCAAATATAAAACAAATGGTTTTCATAGTTTAAGAAAAATTCAATAAAAACCAAAAAAAAAATGTTTTTTTAAGAGCCTATACCTTTAAAAGGAAGCCTTTGGACGAAAAAGTGTATGCTCCGAAATGACATTATTTTAATGAGATCTATCGATGGTTAAAGTCCTAATATAATGGCGTGTGATAGTGACAGATCAGTATTAAGATCAAGTAACAGTACCTGTCCCAAGTTGGTACCTCGAGGAACACCTGAATAAGCTTTATATTAATTTGAAATGATACTATTACATTTCACCAAGATTGTACCATTTCTTACATAAGAAATTATATACCTATCCGGTATTTCTGTGTTTCAGCAATGTGAAGTGAGCAATTAAATCGGCATTATCGATTTGCTCCTCCTTTGTCTGTGGGAAGTATTTAAATACCTTAAATACCGGAAGTTGAAGTTCAAGCGATTATTCCCAGATATTCATCTAAGCGGAACTTGTTCGAAAATTAAAATTTATATTTCAGCATCTTACCGATTGTGAGGAATTATATTTAGGTGGTTTTAACTCCTCCCCATCCATAATCCAAGTTATTTTTGCTGGGGGCCTCGAACCGAATGTCTGACAAGGAATTTCGTATTTCCTGTCTGCGGAGAAGGGATTATTGCTGCTTAGTATCTCCGCTGCGAGAGGTCGAACTGGAACAAAGGAATATTTTGAATTAATAAATTTTAATATGAAATTACCGCTACACGATATTTACTACAGGAAGCGGCGGCCTTTATTTTCATTGAGCCGAAATACAATTCGGGATCGATTTTCGTGCTCATTTTATTTACAGTAGAGCCCACGCTTAGATACTTTTTGTAATGTAGAACAACGAGTAATAACACAAAATATCAAAAAGTAAACTCTTATGAAACAGTTTTCCGGTTACAATTATTTTCATCGCGAGCTAGCATTGATTTTTGGAAGTAACTAATACAAATTATCAGACTGTTTCAGTTCAAAGTGAAACAGAAAGGGTTTTTTGGCGAGCCAAACCACATCAAACCCGGTTAGCTCGAGTTTGATTGTGTTAAGAGTTTGAGTTAACATTTGACAGAACTCGCAAAAATTCTTTTGGTTTGGATATCTAATCAATAATAAAATCGTAACCTATAATCTATGATAGTGCTCGTAGCTCAAGTTGTTTGATTATTTCTTATATACTATAATTGTTATTCCTAATCTGAAATGCACATCCATGAAATAACGTTAATGTATAGATGGTTATTAAATCAAAATGGGTTTACCTTTTCACAAATATCTATTCCCACGTAAATGTATCGTCAAAAAGGAAGTTAATAAAGATCTATACAGTACAATATAGAATATGCATACCTACGATTAAAGTTATTTGGATCCTCGATTACTATTTTTTTATTATCAATTTTAAATATTTACTTTGTATTTTTTGCAAAGTTAATCCATTATCAATTTTTTTTATTTACAACTTATACCTATCCAAACCTCTAAAAAAACGAAGTAGTGACTAGGTACGATGGTACGAAACAGAAAATAAATAAACAAAGATAGAAATATTAACTTAATATCCAAACCAACCCACAAGTCCGGTTTGATGGTTAGGCAAACTCTGCCAAACCGGGTTAACTACATTTCTCGCCGAAACGTCTATCCTCAACAAACTATAGTTAACCGGGTTAGCGGTTTTCTCGCCAAAAAACCCTTAGAGATTAGAATATGCTACGCGGTGTCGTGCGTAACTTTTCCATTCGTGCGTAAAATGCTTTTTACAACACTTATTACGTAATATACTATTATTCCACTAGTGGATAAGGTATCATTTTAGACGGTTCATATGTGTGGATAAAAGGCCGATTATAAGGTGATTGTGGATAAAATATTTTTATTGTCATGTTTTTAGTTAAAAATTTTTGGTAAGGTAATCCCACTTATTAAGGGGGACGTTCTTATGAGCAATATTTTGTCCAGCATTTTACAAAATCTAAGCAAGTTAAAAACAATCACTTCACTGTACCAGTTATACAGGGTGTTCCTTAATAATATACGAATGTTGTGTGATTCTACATGGAAAATTAATAGTTTGCTTTATAAACTATGGTACAAAAATATTCCGTTGCGAAAATACGGAGTGTTAAGATTTTAGGAAGAAGAAGGAAATTAATTAATATTTTCGAAACCACTTGACATATTTTAGTGATATTTAGTACATAGTGACAGTTAATAAAGGCGCATGTTTTTCAATACAAACATAATTTTTAATTGCAACAGTGGCGTGCGCACGAGCACTGACTGGTATTTTTGATATTTTTGAAGATGGTGCGCCAATGGGTATTTTTCTCAAATAAAATTATTATTGAAATTCACGTTCAAATCGAAAGATAAGAGCTCTCTTGAGTTTTTGTCCTGCGATGCGCTGTGTTTGAGTAAAAAACCTACAGAATTATTAATAATTTTATAACAAAAATTAAATACATTACTGGTTGGCACCTGTGTATTAACGACATACAACACTAACATAACATTACAAAAAATATCAAACTATTATTAAAAAAATTGTTGAAAATAGCATTCTTCTCTAAATTCATCTACAGTATTAATGGGATACATAATCACACGCCCTGGAATCTTCACAAATTTGCTGGACAAAACAGGAAAAGTATATTTTCTGATGTTTACAAGTCCTCCGTGATCTTTCAACGAGAAAAATTAAAGGAAATTGCTCTAGTTTAGCGTTACGCATCGTCACTTCTATAATTGTCTTACTAAATGTGAGATTTCTCGTCTATAAATGTATTTTTTTCATAATATTAGGAATTTTAAATATTTTTATGTCCCAAAAAAATTTAGTATAGAAGAAAAACAGCTCGTATCGAAAGTCTAGAAATATTAATTTATTTTTTTTTTTTATTAACCTACTCAAAGTTCATTTTCAACGACAACTTTTTATCTATCTATTACGACTTTGGCATAAAAATCATGTCGACAGAAAAATAAACTTGTTACAGCCACAGAAAAAAGTTTTTATCAATTTTCTGTACCTATGTGTTATTAAAATATCTCCTTATCTCAATATTGCATATCAAAGTTCAAACACAGTAAATATTAGACCTATCACTGATGAAGGTCTTGAACAAAAAAGACTACATAATTTTCAGCCTCGTATAGAATTATGTTATTGGTTTTGGCAGCAAGTGGTACAACAATCAAATTATACAAGCACAGCACTTTTCCGCGATATTATTGCAAAATTGTCTAAAGCAACATAATACAAGACAACTCTCATCTCGTTAGTCAAAAAATTTTATTAGCTAACTTTTGTATTTAGACAAATAAGTGAGGAAAACAGTTTTTTAATTTTGCACAGGGAAAACCACCAGTTTTAGCGAAAAGTGACTCACAGACAGCTTGTAGGGAATAAAATTATCTACAAAATAAGACTTGTTAAATTAAAATCGGTTAATAAACAAAAAAGTTATTGCAAAAAAACAAGAAAAGTGCCCATTTTTTAATTTGTTTATAACTATCGCATTTATTGTTAAAATTTTATAAAACCTATGACAAGTTGAGGGCTTTTGTCATACTTTAAAAGTGTGCCAAAAGTGGGCGCTGTAGGGGCAATAGTTTTCGCACAATTCAATTTGTTTATAACGGAGTCTCCAAAAGTTATGAACTTTGAGCCTCTGTACAGGCGTTAGTTTTCAACCAAACATGATTCTGAGAGCGTCATTGTAATCTTAAAGACGTAATTAAGCGACCTATTAAAAAATATCACCGTTTTTTTACATTAACATTCTCAAATTGTGCATTAAAAAACCGTGCGTTTTTCGCTTATAAACAATTTGAATAAAATTGCTGCTATTTATGCTACCTCACCGAAAACAGATGCAATGGATAGCTGGCAAAAAATACAATTTTTTTTTTTAAAAGTACCCTCTACGACCAACAGGAGCCAAGATAAGAATTTAAAAAAAAATCGTAACGCAATTGTTTATAAACATTAAGACTTGAATTTTTCGCAAAATATAGTGTGGAAAATTCACGACTCACGAACCCTATAAAGAGAAGGTACTCGCTAAGTAAACTGTTCGGCGGCCGTTGGCGTGGTGGTGGGGGAAGCTCGTCCAAGCGAGTCGCGCGCCCGAGAAAAATGAAATCCATGAAAAGTTCAAATTGATGCGCGCTGTAAATTTTGCAATATCTTGGCTTCTATCCATCGTAGAAACTTCTTTTTTTTTTAAATTGGGGAAGCTCGACAAAAATATAAGAATGGGCATATTTACGAATTCGTAGAACAGCCCTGAACCCCAGAAAAAATCTTTTATACTTAATTTCTTTTAATTTACAAAAAAATCATAAAAATTATTGTTAAAGGAAATATTAATTAAAGTTTCAATTTCGGAATTATTTTACTATTATTAAATAAATAAATGAAGTTATCGTTCATTTAAAAAGTTACTGTTTTTACATATTAAGCCAGCGCCAATTTTTGGCACACTTTTAAAGTATGACAGAACCCTCAACTTGTCATAGGTTTTATAAAATTTTAACAATAAATGCGATAGTTATAAACAAATTTAAAAATGGGCACTTTTCTTGTTTTTTTTTGCAATATCTTTTCTGTTTATTAACCGATTTTAGTTTAACAAGTCTCATTTTGTAGATAATTTTACTCCCTACAAGCTGACTGAGAGTCACTTTTCGCTAAAATTGATGGTTTTCCCTGCAAAGTAAAAAAACTGTTTTCCTCACTTATTTGTTTAACCAGAAAAGTTAGCTAATAAAATTTTTTGACTCACGACATGAAAGATGTCTTGTATTAAGTTCCTTTAGACAGTTTTACAATAATATCGTGGATAGGACTTTTTTCGAGTAAAAATTTTATTTGCTTGGCTTATTGTAGTGAATTCACGTGTCCCGCAGCAAAATTATCGATCAAATATAAAATTATCATTGGAAATAAAACAGCAGTTTCCTTATAATGCAAAAGTATAACGGTTTGCAAAGGTGATAGTGAATTAAACAACTTCTCCTTTGACAATAATTTCAGTTTCTGCTGGTATTAATGTTCATGAATATGCAGCCCCCAGATATTTAATTGTCCGCTGCCGTTCGGAGGAACAGATGATTAAACCTATCAGGAAGAAATTTATAGTTGGCCGAAAATTAATCCGAATATTCCCGCTGCATTGTTCGAAGTAATGTTCCGCTGCGGCACAGACACTGACCTATATATAAAGTTTTATAGTGTTTCAATTTATCTGCCGCCCTATAGGTACGAAAATACAGCCGGGGCCCTTCGGGAAGTTATTAAATGAGAGCTTTAATTAAACTGCGCCTCACTACATTGTTACCCGGTACCTTCGTCTGGCCAGACCGAAATCTAATTTATAAGCAGCTAAATGACGTGAACTTTGGTCCGACTTGCACATCCTTGCCAATTGGTGTAATAATCAATCATGATTTAATTTAATCATGAAGTTTACCAACGAGCGTGGATGTAGACATGTACCTGGTGTTCTAAAATTAGGAGACAATATAAGGAATGAGGGTATTTGGCTCAAATCAGTTAATTTAGTTAAACGTAAGTAGGTACATGGAAAAAAAATATATTACAAATGTATACAATTGTATCACTGTTAATTAAAGTTTATGTGAAAAATACAACTACAAT